TTGAGCTAGACGATGCATTCAACTCAGATAAAATGGAAGAGTCCTATATGTCTATTTCTAAAGGGGATGAACAATCGGGCCCATCTAAATCTGAAGGGTCGCCTGAGCCAATTGCCATCGGTTTTAAATCCCCGCAGCATAGTTTTAAATCGATCTCTGAACCTGTCTGTCTATCTTCCCCTAATAATGGAGCATCCGCAGATTACACAAAGCCATGTCTCATCTCACCATCCAAGTTACCTCAGCTTTTGTCCGAAGAGGAGCTTGCCGCTTTATCTGCCAATGATGGCTCAAGTAATGAAGAAACACTTCGCAGCATGCACTATCGAGTACAGAATCGGCTAAAAAATGCTAATCGCGAGGAACCAGTTGTCTGGACACGTAATGTCCATTATTACCGTAAGTTTTACCACAAATTGCCCATAAACTGAAATTTTTATTAAAATTATATTTTTAAAATATTTTTTTCTTTTACTCGAGCCCTGCCACCCCATCTGTGTCATTCGAGGCGTTATTCGCCCTCCCCTGCGTCTGGGTGACTAATTAGAGGCTAAAGCCTCTGAGTAAGTGTTATAGTCAGGCCTTTGCCACATGGATCACTGTCGCCGCGTCTATCCTGTTTCCATCTCTAATGCCAAGTCTATGACTTCCTATGCCCTAGTCTCTTGTGTGCCAACTCATAAATGTTGTGGTACTGCTCGCTTTGACTAGGTTCAATGTTGAACCACAACGTTTGTGGGTTGGTACACAAGAGACTAGGGTATAGGAAGTCATAGACTTGGTATTAAAGATAGAAACAGAATAAAAGCGGTGGCGATGGGAGGTAGTGGGCTGACAGTAGGTCTTATAAGAGACGTAGTCCATGTGTCAAAGGCCTGACCATGACACTTAGATGCTTTAGCCTCAAATTACCACCCAGCCGCAGTTGAGGGGTAATAACACCTCGAGTAGCAAATATAGAGAAATACTTAAACCAGAGACATCGCAGATGGATTCTACGGGGCAAGAGAGAGAGAGACTGTGGTAAGACCTATGGAAGGAGGACTGCGTAACAATATGGCAGACTATGTTCAACATTCCTAGCACACGGATGAAGTGGGGTGAGAAGGCCAGCATGGAGTGCGGAGAGTTCTCGTAAAAGCCGCTCAAAAATGCACACCCTACCACATTTTATTAACCAAGTAAAAAATTGTGATAGTTAAGGCGTGATAGAAGGATATATTAAATGTGAATAGGCCAGAGCAGAATGGGAGATACCATAAATGTTTAGCACACGTTTGGTCAAAGTATCGGCTTCATTTTTCTCTTTGACGAGTTGTAATATGGTACTAGGAATGGCAAAACTCACTGACGATGCCGAATACGGAGACGGCGAAACGTTTTAGGAATGTACCACGTTCACGGTCCGACTTTGGAAATGATTATGCATACGATGGACTCCGGACAAGGTGCGTTCCTCTAAGTCTTCCTGCCAATATGACAGAGTTGCGAAAACAAGGTCAAACAACTTCTATACAACGAAAGGAGACGGAGACCACACAAAAGGCCACACCATCTTGGTCTTCATACCTTCGATTAAATTTAATGAGGCCTGATCTTCCTTGAAAATTATGTCAAACCACTCTATATGGATATTTGTGATAGAAGGTACGATCTAGTAGGTAAAATATTAGGCATGAGTATGGTCAAATCCGGTAGTGCAGTATTCAATATGTGATTTATTGACTTTTTCGTTTAAGGTGATTAAGGTCTGGTAGTTTAATTTTCCCACAATTATATAGGTAGAACCGATGTTTCCATTGAATTTTAGATATCCTTTTTTTCCCAAAACCTGTTATCATCCAGAACGACTGCAGTTTATACTCCGCATGGGTCATTTCAACAATCCCGGAGGGAGTCGATCCATGCTAGCCACTATGCCACATTTTCACATGTTTCTTTGTTTCAAAGGGCAGATGCTAATTTCCCGTATCGTATTTTTTGGTGGGATTGTCTATCAAGCAAAGTTATATTTGCTATGACAATCAACTACATTTCCTTTTTGGGAAGTAAGGATATGTTAAATTTATTGGAAACGTGAGCCCGACTCATATCGTTGTGGGAAACTTCAATTACCAGTCATTGACCACCTTAAATGAAATAGCCTAAAAACTTCTCATATAACTGACTTACTGGTAGTCTTAAAACTCTACTTTTAAACGAGAAATAAGTAATTTTCTCCCTGAAGGTGTTGATAAGACTTAGGCGAGGTCGAAACTGCGGTCCATCTTGGATGAGAACACCTTTTGGGAAGGCAAGGATATATGAAATTTAATGAAAACCTCAGCTCTTCTGATATCATTGTAAGAGGAGAATTCAACTACAGGTTTATCATCACAAACGAAATAGAGTGAATACGTTTAATCTATCTGACCTGCTGGTAGTCTCAAAAACATACTTATAAAAGAAAAATATTAGATGTGTTCGTAGATGGTCTGAATGCTAGAGGAGTTAGATAGATAAATAGTTATCGCTAGTTCGATATGGTTTAATCTAGCTACTAATCGTTGTTGCAAGAGATTGATTCAATACCTTGCAGTTTGTTTAGGATACACAACTTCTATTACATTCATTATTAAATTTCCATATTAACCATTGTTTCTATTTTATTCGTTCTACTTTGAAATTTATCTCTTTTGCATGCATTCATTCATCAGTCGCGCACTTAGTTCCAGCCCCTCGTTTTTTTTTCTTAAGTATCTTCACAGCTCCATGTTTGTACAATGTATAATACTTTTTCTATGGCACTAAATAAAATTATCTTTCGATATTTACTTACTTTTAAGATACTTAAGTTTTTTAAACGTTTTTGTTTTTCGAAAGCATTTTTTCTTATTTTATGTTACCTCATTTTCTTTATCATTTTTCTTATATCGTTTTGTTATAGGCTTGGACGGCAGCACTTCGGCAACGGAACGTGAGAAACTGATAAATCATTTCAATGACTTAAAAAATCCAGCTCGTCTTTTCTTAATGTCCACTCGGTAGGTTATCAATGTTGCTCTATTTACTCGTTATTGCTGTATTGTGTTTTTATCTTTTGTTTTGTTTTGTTGATTCTTGTCACCTTTTATAACTTATTGTGTTAATTTATTTAATGATTTTTTCATCACTGGACATATCTACAGTTTAGTCTTCCTTAATGATGTACAGCATTCATACCATTTATATAAAGTTTCTATTAGATTGAGATAACTTTCAGTATTTGAAGTCGGTACAGACATTAGGTGAGTTACCTTTTAATCGACTTAACTATTGGGTTATTCTGGAGCTTTAAAATACTCATAATCAGTCTAAATAATTTTCAGAAAAATGTCGTATTAATAGTAGTTTTACATTCACCTATCTATTTTCCATTTTCAGTGTGCAAAGCTTTATGCTGATATATTCTGCTATATGTTTGTTATTTACATTTGTATTATTTGAAGACACTGTTTAATGATATAAAAAGTATTCCTATCCACAATAACCTATCGGCTTTTTGTTCTCACTCATTAACATGAATTTTTTAATTATAAGAAGTTAATTTTTATTCTTAGAAATTCATACATATTTCTTTATGTTTATGTTTACTTGCTAATTAGGCTCTAATTCATCTTATTGTGGTAGATTTTCTTAATGAAACCCTGAGTTAGATTTATCAGGGTTATCTAAGAAAGCAATCATTTTTTTGTGATTATTTTTTCTTACTTTTCATTAATCTATTTCTTCTTTAAAGTGCTGGCTGCCTCGGTGTTAATTTGGTTGGTGCGAATCGAGTGGTTGTCTTTGATGCCTCTTGGAATCCCTGTCATGATTGTCAAGCTGTTTGTCGAGTCTACCGATACGGCCAAGTCAAGCCTTGCTACATTTATCGTCTTGTATCTGACAACACTATGGAAAAAAAGATATATGATAGACAGGTATCTTGTATATAATTTTTTTCTCATGTTAATTTGTTATATTTATATTAGCTTTTTTCTTTTAATGCCTTCATCCTTCCATTATGCCTTTTATATAGGCCTTGTAACTGGTACTTTTTTATTATAAAGCTTTATAATATCCATATAAATATTCCTTTATGCCTTATTTTATCATTACTTACTATAGGTGACTAAGCAGGGCATGTCAGATCGCGTTGTGGATGAGTTGAATCCTACACAAAATTTCACTCGTGCACAAGTCGAGCTCTTGTGCTCCTATGACGACAAAGAACCTGGCACCGTCAGTGAACAAGAGTTGGAAGATTGCCACAATTTGATAGAACCAGATCCTGTTCTTGCTAATGTGCTTAGAGAACACAGGGGGCTAATTACTAAGGTTAGTTGTGACAGATTATAATATACATTTCCACATTCAATATATTATTTTTTTTAAGAAATTACTCTCGGTATTCAGATGTATCTAATGGGAAATATTTTTCCTTTTATTATATATCTGCCTTTTTTATTCTTTGTGTCACTGTCTATTACTTTGAATTTTCCTTTTCTAGTACATTTTAGTTTGTTGATTTTGCTCCATATTAAAACTAGTCACTTTTTCGATAAGTAATACCTGCTCCTTGACTTACTATTATTCAGCTTCTGTCAATGTTAACGTTTTAATAAGTTTATGTACTTGCCGCATACTCGAAAAAAATTTTGAGGTGAATACAAATACCAGTTGCGATCGTAATTCCTAGATCTCAAGGCCCATTGTGAAACATTGCTAAGTTAAGAGTTTGTTTGATCTTGTTTTCGCAGCTTGGTCATATTGGTAGGAGGAACAAATCTAGTCCGGCGTCTATAGTATACTTGATAATTTCCAGTCAAACCGTGAACGTGGTACATTCTCAGACGTTTCGCTAGCATCGTTATTGAGCAATGCCACATTACAATTCGTCAAAGAGACAAATAAAGCCGATCCTTTGACCAGATGTCTCCTAAACAATCTTATTATCTATTCTTCCCTCTTGGGCTAATCACCAATCCTATATCCTTGTATCACCTCTCCACTGTCTCTATTTTTTTCCTCTGCTTATTTAAATATCATATGGTTTGTCCTTTTAGGCCGATTTCATCAGAACTCTCCACACCCCATACTGGCTTTCTCTTCCCCTTTCACCCTTGTGCTTTGAATCTTGATAAGAGTTTGCCATATTGTTTTGCAGTCTTCCTCATATGTCTTATTATAGTCTCCTTGCCACGTAGGATCCGTCTGCTTACTTCATATTTTAAGTACTTCATTAGACCATTGCCATCATATATGTCTTACTTGAGACGTTATTTCTCACATCCTGCCTCTGGGAGACCAAGTTAAGGCGAAAGACCCTAATTAATTCTTATGTTCAAGTCTTTTCTTCATAGAACACCTATATGATCAAGCACGTCTACTGTTAGCCAACTAGCTCTAGTCTCCGCCGCATCCATCGTGCCTCTATCCATAATACCAAGTCTATGACTTCCTATCCCCTAGTCTCTTGTGTGCTAACCCACAAATGTTGTGGTTCTACGTGTTTTCATTAGGCTCAATTTAGAATAATAGCATCTGTGGGTTGGCACACAAGAGACTAGGGCATAGGAGGTCATACATTTAGTATTATGGATAGAAACAGGATAGATGCGGTGGAGTCTAGAGCTGGTTATTGAACCTTTCATCATTCGTTCATCGCAAACAAACTTTATCTCATCGATTGTGTATTCTTACAACTTTCATACCGGCCCTGCTGGCTACATTTTTATTTTTCTCTTCCGCTTTAACTAATTTTTCTATATACTTATATTATAATCCTAATTTTTTTATCAGTCTTAGGTAATCTTTCCTGACTAAATTGCT